CTGATCTCAAACTCCTGGCCTCAAGCGATTCTTCCACCTCCTCAGTAGCTGGGAGCACACTCGCACACCATCACACCCAGCTGTTTCCTTATCTTTGATATGGATGCACCACACCCACTTTAAAGCACATCTAGCCCTTGACATTGGTTTGCTTTCTAACCTGAACTCTCTACTAATGCAATCTGAAACAATTTTATTGGATTTTTAGCCTCCAGCCTGAAAGCTTGGCAGGTCCCTGGGAGGGCAGGTGTAATGACTCTGGACTTGGGGAGGACAACATCCGAGGGAGCAACCCTGAGAAAAGTGAGTATTTTGCCCACTGAACAGCCTGACCTTGGCCAGGTACAGTGGCTCGTGCCTGTAATCGCAGCACTTTGGGAGGCTGCGGCAGATAGATCACTTGAGGTCAGGAGTTCGAGACCAGCCTGGCCAACATAGTAAAACCCCATCTCTACTAATACAAAAATTAGATTACAGGCATAGTGGTGCATGCCTGTAATCTCAGCTACTCAGGAGGCTGAGGCAGGAGAATCGCTTGAAACTGAGAGGTTGCAGTGAGCCTAGATCTTGCCATTGCACTCCAGCCTGAGCGACAAAGTGTGACTCCATCTCAAAAATAAACAATCTGACCTTGTTCCTGTGCCCTGCCCAGAGAATGAAAGGAGGAAAGCATAGGTCTCACAAATGAATGGTTGAAGGATTCCTCTGTAGGAAAACTAAACAGCCCATGAATAAAGATCTGCAGCTCTGGGCCAGGCATGGTGGCTCACACCTGTAATCCCAGCACTTTGGGAGGCCGAGACAGTCTGATCACTTCAGGTCAGGAATTCAAGACCAGCCTGGCCAACATGGTGAAACCCCATCTCTACTAAAAATATAAAAATTAGCCAGGCATGGTGGCACGCATCTGTAATCCTAGCTACTTGGGAAGCTGAGGTAGGAGAATCACTTGAACCTGGGAGGTAGAGGTTGCAGTGAGCTGAGATTGTGCCACTGTACTCCAGCCTGGGTGACAGAGTGAGACTTTGTCTCAAAAAAAATAAATAAATAACATCTGTCTCAATAAATAAATAAATAAAATAATAAATAACGGTCAGCAGCTCTGACCATTGGGATCACTTGTTGGAAGGGCCAGATTCCTATGTGGTCACCTAGCAGATGTCCACTAATGACAGGCCCCACTCACGGCTCCAATCAGCCCGAGGACCTTTCTATTATAAACAGAGATCCAAGGACATCAGCCATTTGACGGAAGCCTTTGCCGTGGGCACACCAACCTAAAAACAGACAGACACCCCCCCATCCAAGAATCAATGCACAAACAGCTAGAGTGGATAGCACAGATAGGATCTTGCATTAATGAAGAAGGCTTGACAAGGGAAACCTGGGCAAACAAAATGTCTCCAATTAAGTGACTGCAGAAATGAAAAGCCTGGAAGAGGAAAGAAGGTGAAGTGGAACAAATACCCCAGAAAGTAAAAAATAAAGAAGAAAAATAGAGAATGAGACACGAAAATTAGAGAATCCATTTCAGTGGAAAAAACGGTGGTGGCAAGGGAGATAATTCTATTTTTTTCTTTGCTTTTTAGAGATGGGCATCTCACTATGTTGCCCAGACTGGTCTCAAACTCCTGGACTCAAGGGATCTTCCCACCTCAGCCTCCCAAAGTGCTGGAATTATAAGCGTGAGCTACCATGCCAAGCTCTTAAAAAAAAAAAAGCAAAGGATGGGCCGGGTGCAGTAGCTCACGCCTGTAATCCCAGCACTTTAGGAGGCCGAAGCAGGCAGATCAGCAGGTCAGAAGTTTGATACCAGCCTGACCAACATGGAGAAACCCTGTCTCTACTAAAAACACAAAATTAGCTGGTGTGGTGGCCCATGCCTGTAATTCCAGCTACTCTGGAGGTTGAGGCAGGAGAATCACTTGAACCCAAGAGGTGGAGGTTGTAGTGAGCCGAGATCGCACCATTGCACTCCAGCCTGGGCAACAAGACTGAAACTCCATCTCAACAACAACAGCAAACAAACATCAAAGAACATAATTCTAGATTGCAAGGCTCATACTTGGATGTAGAGAAAATAGGTTTCTATTCAGGACAGCACATCTAAGAATACTGGAGACACAACCTACAAACTTCAGTCAGTGAAGCTGAGACAGGGGAAGAGAGTCGTGCACAAAATAATTGGTGATCAGAGTAGAAGACTTTGAACCCAACACTGAAAACTAGAAGATATTGATCAATGCTTGCAACATTCTGAAGGTCATAGTTTCCGCTCGAGAACACTCTCTGCAGCTCAATTAACAACCAGAAGTCAAAGCTAAGTACACGTTTTCAAGGCCGGACACAGTGGCTCATGCCTGTAACCTCACTGAGGTCAGGAGTTCGAGACCAGCCTGGCCAACATGGTGAAACCCTGACTCTACTAAAAATATAAAAAATAGCCAGGCATGGTGGTGGGTGCCTGTAATCCCAGCTATTTAGGAGGCTGAGGCAGGAGAATCGCTTGAATCTGGGAAGCAGAGGTTACAGTGAGCCAAGATCACACCATTGCACTCCAGCCTGGGTGTCAGAGTGAGACTACCTCAAAAAAATACAAAATAGGCCAGGTGCGGTGGCTCATGCCTATAATCCCAGCACTTTGGGAGGCCGAGGCAGGTAGATCACGAGGTCAAGAGATCAAGACCATCCTGGTCCATAAGGTGAAACTTCATCTCTACTAAAAATACAAAAATTAGCTGGGCATGGTGGTGCGTGCCTGTAGTCCCAGCTACTCGGGAGGCTGAGGCAGGAAAATTGCTTGAACCCAGAAGGCGGAGGTTGCAGTGAGCCGAGATCGTGCCATTGCACTCCAGTCTGGGTAACAACAGCGAAACTCCATCTCGAATAAATAAATAAATAAAGTATGTTTTCAGATGAGCAGTGTCTGAAATTTAACCTCCCCTATACCTTCTCTCAAAAGCAAGATACACCCATATCAAAAACCAGTGGATCACAGTAGCTCATGCCTGTAATCCTAGCACATTGAGAAGCCAACACAGGAGGACTGTTTGATCCCAGAAATTCAAGATCAGCTTCCCTGTTTCCTGGATCCCATGCTTACCTTCACTTGTTTTCTCATTTAGAGACAGGGTCTCACTCTGTAGCCCCAGCTGAAGTGCAGTGGCGCCATCACTGCTCACCGCAGCCTTGAACTACCTGGCTCAAGCAATCCTCTTGCCATGGCTTCCCAAAGCCAAATTAAAATTTTAAAAGCCAAATTAATTAAAATTAAACAATCAGCTGGGCATAGTGGTACACACCTATGACGCAGCTACTTAGGAGGCTGAGGCAGGAGGATTGCTTTAGCACAGTAGTTCAAGGCTACAGTGAGCTGAGCTGTGATGGTGCCAGTAAACTCCAGCCAGGGCAACAGAGTGAGACCTTGGCTCTAAAATAAAGGAGAAAACAAGTGAAGGCAGGCATGAGATCCAGGAAACAGGAAAACAGACCCAGGAAAAGTGAGTGGAACCTCCAGGATGATGGTAAAAGCCGATCCCAGGACAAAAGACATGTACCAGAGGATGGGGGTAACTATTCCAGGCTGGAGTAAACAGAGAGCTTTACAGTGGGTGTGGATGACAAGCATGTTGGTAGATTACTGATGTATTACACTCAGCAGGAGGTTTACACTTGTAGAAAAGAATTTGGCATGAGGTAAGCCCAAGGAAAACAAAGATACGAGTGAAGATGTGGATTAATTCCAAGGAAAACACACTTCTGAATATAATTTACATAATTATGACAAAACCTGACATCAAGCTAACAAAAATTAGGTATCTATGGTAGGAAGACAAGCAGGTGGTATTAAAAAAAAACAGGTGTCTCAGCCAGGCACGGTGGCTCATCCCAGCACTTTGGAAGGCTGAGGCAGGTGGATCATGAGGTCAGGAGTTCCAGACCAGCCTGGCTAAGATGGTGAAACCCTGTCTCTACTAAAAATACCAAAAAAAAAAAGGCCAGGTGTGATGGCAGATGCCTGTAATTGCAGCTACTTAGGAGGCTGAGACAGAGGATTCCTTGAACCCAGGAGGTGGAGGTTGCAGTGAGCCAAGATGATGCCACTGCACTCCAGCCTGGGTGACAAAGCAAGACTCCCATCTCAAACAAAAAAACCCGGATATCTCTTCTTTAAATTGGAACATCATCTTTAAATGTAGTATAAGCATGATGTTTAGAATTACGAAAGCATAGACTAGAATAAATAGATTAAAGAGTAGAAAGTTCTGGCCTCTGGGGTTGGGTAAGGTGGAGCAGGGGTGGAAGAGGCAGGCCCGGGTCCTCCCTTGCTTTAAATATCTTTAGCTCTATAAAATGCATACATTGTATCAAAGTTCATTTAAGTTATGAAAACAAAGTATATATAAGAAAGTCATGGTTCAAATATAAAATGTAGGCCGGGTACAGTGGCTCATACCTATAAACCCAGCACTTTGGGAGGCCAAGGAGAGGGGATAGCTTGAGGCCAGGAGTTCAAGACTAACCTGGACAACATAGTGAGACCCCATCTCTACAGAATTCTTTAAAAAGTTAGCTGTGTGTGGTGGCACTCCCTGAACCACAGATGATGGCTTAAATCCACACACACTCTCTTGAACTTTCTAGGAAGGGTAAGAGAGACTGAGTTGCTACAGATGATCATCTTTGATCTTATCAGTGTCAAGATGTTAATTGCCAGAGGAAAGCAAGCCAGTAACACTATCCCTGCAGCACCAAGAACCAATGACATGGTATCCTCAAGTCCAAGTCTGTGCAGAGGCCTGGCGCGGTGGCTCACGCCTATAATTTCAGCACTCTGGGAAGCCGAAGCATGTGGATCACTGGAGATCAGGAGTTCAAGACCAGCCTGGTCAACGTAGTGAAACCCCATCTTTCTTTTTTTTTTTTTTTTTTTTAAGATGGGGTTTCACTATGTTGGTCAGGCTGGTCTTGAACTCCTGACCTCAGGTCATCTGCCCGCCTTGGCCTCCAAAGTGCTTGGATTACAGGTGTGAGCCACCACACCTGGCCAAAACCCCATCTCTTTTACTAAAAATACAAAAATTAGCTGGGTGTGGTGGCAGGTGCCTATATTCCCAGCTATTCGGGAGGCTGAGGTAAAAGAATCGCTTGAACCTGGGAGACAGAGGTTGCAGTGAGCTGAGATTGTACCACTGCACTCCAGCCTGGGTGACAAGAGTGAAACTCCACCTCAAAAAAGATAAAAAAAGAAGAAAAACAAAGTCTGTCCAGATAGTTATAAGACCATGCTACTGTCTTGAAGGTTTTGCTTTAATACCTTTTAAAAGCCGATTACTAAGCAAATGTTTATTTTTATTTTTTTGAGACAGTTTCACTCTTGTTGCCCAGGCTGGAGTGCAATGGCACGATCTCGGTTCACTGCAACCTCTGCCTCCCGGGTTCAAGCCATTCTCCTGCCTCAGCCTCCCGACTAGCTGGAATTATGGGTACACACCACCACCCCCAGCTAATTTTTTGTCTTTTTAGTAGAGACAGGATTTCATCATGTTATCCAAGCTGGTCTTGAACTCCTGACCTCAGATGATCCACCTGCCTTGGCCTCCCAAAGCGCGGAGATTACAGGCATGAGCTGCTATACCCAGCCTAAACAAATGTTCTTAGGAGATGAATTCCACATGGTTTTAAGATGCAAGTGGTTTATCTGAAGTTCAGATAGAGAAAGGTGTACATGCTGAACATTTTATTAACGTTAAGTTTAAAAGCTTTACATTTGGGTTACACTAAGATATAGGGCTGCTGCTTCTTAAAGAGATTATCCACTGGCATTGGGTTGTTGGGTTAGGGGCAATGGAGCGTGGCTATTTTGTTGCTAAGCAGTCACAGTTTATAAATTCACAATCTTGGTCTACAACTTGGCTCAGTAACATTAGGCTCTCTTCTTCCTTCAGGAGAGAACAAACACTGTTATGCCTCCAGGATTCTCAGCGCATCGTCACTGCACATTTGACAAAACATGCCTTGTAACAAAATCCACCCTTTTCACCATGTCTAAGTCATTAAGCACATTTGCCTGGAATAAAGTACATTCACCTCAGTAGCAGTTAAGCACAGTCACATTGTGCTACCACCACCACCACCCACCTCTAGAACTGTTTTATCTTGTACAACTGAAGCTTAGCATCTATTAAATCAGGGGTCCCCAAGACCCTGTCCATGGCCTGTTAGGAACTGGGCCACACAGCAGGTGAGCAGCAAGGCAGCAAAAAAAAGCTTCGTCTGTATTTACAGCCACTGCCCATGGCTCACATGACCGCCTGAGCTCCGTCTCCTGTCAGATCAGCTGCATTAGATTCTCATAGGAGTATGAACCCTATTGTGAACTGTGCCTGAGAGAGATGTAGGTTGCCTGCTCCTTATGAGAATCTAATGCCTCCTGATCTGTCATGGTCTCCCATCACACCCAGATAGGACCATCTAGTTGCAGAAAAAAAAGCTTAGGGCTCCCACCGATTCTACATTATGATGAGTTGTGTAATTATTTTGTTATATATTACCATGTAATCATAGAAATAAAGTACACAATAAATATAATGCTCTTCCTGAAACCATCCCCTCACACCAAAGTCAGTGGAGAATTTGTCTTTCATAAAAACCGGTCCCTAGTGTTAAAAAGGCTGGGGATCAGGTCGGGCGCAGCGGCTCACACCTGTAATCCCAGCACTTTGGGAGGCCGAGTCAGGTGGATCATGAGGTCAAGAGTTCGAGACCAGCCTGACCAACATGGTGAAACCCTGTCTCTATTAAAAATACAAAACTTAGCTGGGCATGGTGGCACATGCCTGTAATCCCAGCAACTCAGGAGGCTGAGGCAGGAAAATTACCTGAACCTGGGAGGTGGAGGTTACAGTGATCCGAGATCGTGCCACTGCACTCCAGCCTGGGTGACAGAGTGAGACTTTGTCTCAAAATAAATAAATTTAAAAAGCTGGGGACCACTGTATTAAATCACTCCTCATTTCCTCCTCCACCCTGCACCTGGCAACCACCATTCTACTTTGTCTCTACAAATTTGACCACGCTAGGTACCACATGTAAGTGGAATCTCACATTTGTCCTTTGGTGACTAGCTTGTTTTAAAATGCAGTTTTGATATACTGGAACGCCATCCTGACAATGAGTAAGGAAATGATGGGAATAGCTACTATTTCTAGATGAGAAGTCTTTAACCTGGAGTTCTTGGATAAGCCCCAGGGATTCAACCCCCTTTGAGAGAGGAGTTTTTTTGTTTTTTTGTTTTTATTTTTTTGAGACAGAGCCTTCCTCTGTCACCTAAGGCTGGAGTGCAGTGGAGTGATCTCGGCTCACTGCAACCTCTGCCTCCTGGGTTCAAGCAATTCTCTTATCTCAGCCTCCCGAGTAGCTGGGATTACAGGCATGCATCACCATGTCCAGCTAATTTTTGTATTTTCTGTAGAGACGGAGTTTTGCCATGTTGGCCACGCTGGTCTCAAACTCCTGACCTTAGGTGATCCACCGCCTTGGCCTGCCAAAGTGCTGGGATTACAACTGTGAACCACCTTGCCCCACCAAGTCTCTTTTTTTATGAGGTTTTCATAGGAACCCTTAACATCTGCCTTCCAGGTTAAAGCGATTCTCCTGCCTCAGCCTCCTGAGTAGCTGGGATTACAGGCACGCACCACCACGCCAAGCTAATTTTGTATTTTTAGTAGAGACAAGGTTTTACCATGCTGGCCAGGCTGGTTTCAAACTCCTGACCCTCAAGTGATCAGCCTGCTTCAGCCTCCTAAAGTGCTGGGATTACAGACGTGAGTCACTGCTCCCAGCCGAGAGCATCTTCTGTGGTCCCAAATCAAGATTAACTGCCCCAGCTAACCAGAGCATCCACCAGCATACAATCAATATGACCAGGTCATATTGATTGTATAGTCCTGTACTTTGCTGATAAGTCACCTTTGACAGCTTAGTGTCAGCCCGTCACCCTGCCTTTTCTGTTGGTCAGCTAGCATGACTTCACATGGCACTGCCCCATCCATGGGGTATACTGGCAGCTCATATGAGAAGGTTCTGTCAGTTCACCATGGGGGGGCACCCTTTTTCCTCCATTCCCCAATACCTTCTTGTTGCCTGTCACTCAGGTATACTACACATCAACTTCACTGACTTTTATCTGGTCATGTAATAAATGTTTATCTGGTCATGTTTATAAGGTTGCCTTCCTCATATAAAAGTAACTGATATGACCGAAAATTAAACCACAATGAGATACCACTTTATACCCATGAGGATAGCTACTACCAAAACACCCAGAAAATAACAAGTGTTGGCAAGAGTGTGGATAAACTGGAATCCTTGTACATCCTTGGTAGGGACATGAAATGGTACTTCTACTATGGAAAAGAGCATGGTAGTTCTGCACAAATCCATAATTGAATTACCATATCATCTAGCAATTCCACTTCTGGGTATATACTCCAAAGAATAGGGCCAGGCGTGGTGGCACATGCCTGTAGTCCCAGCACTTTGGAAGGCTAAGAGGGGTGGCTTGCTTGAGCTCAGGAGTTTGAGACCAATCTAGGCAACATGGAGAAACCCCATCTCTACAAAAAAGTAATAGAAAAGTTAGCTGCCAGCGTGGTGATGCAGCTACTTGGGAGGCTGAGGTGGGAGGATTGCTTGAGCCCAGGGAGGTCAAGGCTACAGTGAGCTATCATTGCAGCCACTGCCTTCCAGCCTGCACAACAGAACAAGACCCTGTCTTGAAAAAAAAATGCAGCCAGGCCTGGTGGCTCACACCTGTAATCCCAGCACGTTGGGAGGACAAGGCGGGCCAGTCACCTGAGGTCAGCAGTTCAGGACCAGCCTGACCAACATGGAGAAACCCCCTCTCTACTAAAAATACAAAATTAGCTGGGCATGGTGGCACATGCCTGTAATCCCAGCTACTCAGGAGGCTGAGGCAGGAGAATCACTTGAACCTGGGAGATGGAGATTGTGGTGAGCCAAGATTGCATTACTGCACTCCAGCCTGGGCAACAAGAGCAAAACTCCATCTTAAAAAAAAATTCACAAAGGGACTCTAACAGGCTAACACATCCATGTTCATAGCAGTGTATTCACCACAGCCAAATAGTAGAAGCAACTCACATATCCTTTGACAGATGAATGAATAAATACATAGCACTGTATTCCCCATAGCCAAATGGTAGAAGAGATGCACTTATCCATTCACAGGTGAAATGAATAAATACAATGTGGCATATACATTCAATGAAATATTATTCAGCCTTAAAAAGAAAACAAATCCCGATTCGAGCTATGACATGGATGAACCTTGAAGACAGTATGCCGAGTGGAAATCTATCAGTCACCAAAGGACAGATACTGTGCAATTCCACTCATGATGTCCCTAGAATAGTCAAGTTCATAGAGACAGAAAGCAACATGATACTTACTAAGGGCTGGGGGAAAGGTGTGTTGGGGTCTTTGTAGTTAATAGGCAGGGAGTTTCCGTTTGGGAAGTTAAAAACACTGTGGAGATGGGCTGGGCATGGCCTCAGTAAACGGGGATATGCCCCCTGCAGACATAAAAAAAAAAAAAAAAAAAACGGGCTTATGCCCGTCATTTCAGCACTTTGGGATTATGCCGAGGTAGGTGGATCATTTGAGACCAGGAGTTTGAGATCAGCCTGGCTAACAAAGGGAAACGCCATCTCTGCTGAAGATTAGCTAGGTGTGGCGGTACATCCTCTAATCCCAGCTACTGGAGTGGCTGAGGCTCAAGGATCAACTGAATCTGGGAGGTGGAGGTTGCAGTGAACTGAGATCACGCCACTGTCCTCCAGCCCAGGCAACAGAGTGAGACTATCTCAAAAATAAAAATAAAACAAAAACAGAAAAAAATAAAAGGTCACTTTAGCATCAAATCCTCTCCCCTGCCATACATCTCCCGAAAAGGAGGCCAGTAGGATGAAGTTTTAAGAGGCAGTGGGACAAGCTCCCAAGGCATTAGAAGAACTTCCAGGAACCAGGAAGGTGACCTGATACAGCAAGGATAGGGGAAACACATTAACTTCAGAGGGAAGCCCACCTGCGCAGTCACCTGCCGCAACCCAACAGCCCGGGCCCTGGCAGGATGGCCCTACCAGGACCCCTGGACACTCATTCGCACTCCTTTGACAGATGAATGAATAAATACATAGCACTGTATTCCCCATAGCCAAATGGTAGAAGAGATGCACTTATCCATTCACAGGTGAAATGAATAAATACAATGTGGCATATACATTCAATGAAATATTATTCAGCCTTAAAAAGAAGACAAATCCCGATTCGGGCTACGACATGGATGAACCTTGAAGACAGTATGCCGAGTGGAAATCTATCAGTCACCAAAGGACAGATACTGTGCAATTCCACTCATGATGTCCCTAGAATAGTCAAGTTCATAGAGACAGAAAGCAACATGATACTTACTAAGGGCTGAGGGAAAGGTGTGTTGGGGGGTAAGTCACTTACCTCGATAAAGTGCTTCTCGATGATGTTCAAAGCCGACAGGCTAATCTGACGGTTCTCATGCAGTTGTAAAGCTTCAATTCTATCAATTCCACCGAGTTCTTCTATCAGAAGACACACGTTTTCCTTCTCAGACAGTTTCTCTGCTGCCTGTGACCAAGTACAAGGGCACATGAGACCCCCGGCAGGACCTCTGCCAGCCCTCAAGGGAGCTGCCCTCAGTGGAAGCAGACCAAAGGCTACTATTCCAGAAGGGGTAGTTGCAGTTTTGCTTTTCCCAAATTGGTTGAAAATTACATGATCTTCCTCCCATTCCAGGTATCCATGATAAATAGACATATATCATAAACACAGGGCCAGGCACAGTGGCTCACAGCTGGAATCCCAGCACTCTGGGAGGCCAAGGCAGGTGGATCACTTGAGGTCAGGAGTTTCAAGACCAGCCTGGCCAACATGGCAAAACCCCATCTCTACTAAAAATGCAAAAGTAGCTGGGCATGGTACAGTGCCTGTAATCCCAGCTACTCAGGAGGTTGAGGCACAAGAATGCCTGAAATGGGAAACAGCGGTTACAGTGACTGAGACTGTGCCACTGCACTCCAGCCTGGATGATGGCATGAGACTCAGTCTCAAAAAAAATACAAGAAGATACACAGGAAAGACTCAGAAGGTATCATAATTTTGTTAATATTTTGTGTAGAGACAGTATCTTGCCGCATTACCTAGATTCGTCTCCAACACCGGGTCTTAGTGATCCTCCTGCCTCAGCCTCCGAAAGTGCTGGATTACAGGCATGAGCCACTGCACTTGGCCCAGATCTTTTTTTTTTGAGACAGTCTCACTCTATCGCCCAGGCTAGAGTGCAGTGGCGTAATCTCTGCTCACTACACTCTTCACCTCCCAGGTTCAAGAGATTCTCCTACCTCAGCCTCCCAAGTAGCTGGGACTGCAGCTGCATGCCACCACGCCTGGCTAATTTTTAAAATATTTTTGTAGAGAGCAGGTTTCACCATGTTGGCCCTGCTGGTCTTGAGCTCCTGTCCTCAGGTGATCTGCCCGCCTCTGCCTCCCAAAATGCTATGATTACAAGCATGAGCCACTGCACTGGATCCAAATATCTACTCTTTATCTGTGTAGTTTGCTCCAAGTTGCAGGGTGCCATTGGGTTGAGTTTCAAATCTAGTCTTGACTCAAATTGTTCTGTTCGAGACAATTAAAAAGATGCTTAAAGTGGGCTTCAAAAGGGAGCTCCCTGGTGTCACTTTGAAGCTTTTCAGATGGCTTTGTCACCTATAAAACGACCTTAACTAAGCTGGGCACAGTGGCCCATTCCTGTAATCCCAGCACTTTGGTAGGCCAAGGTGAGAGGATCAGTTGAGTCCAGGAGTTTAAGACCAGCCTGGGCAACAGACCTCGTATCTACTAAAAATACATAAATTAGCTGGGTGTGGTAGCACAAGCCTGTAATTCCAGCTGCTTGGAAGGCTGAGGTTGGAGGATAACCTTAGCCCAGAGATTGAGGCTGCAGTGAGCTGAGATCACACCACTGCATTCCAGCCTGGGTGACAGCATGAGATCCTGTTTCAAAATATATTTATTTTTAAATTTTTACTTTCAGAGACAGAGCCTTGGCCTGTTGCTCAAGCTGGAGTGCAGCAGTGTAATCTCAGCTTACTGCAGCCTCCACCTCCTGGTTCAAATCACTCTCATGCCTCAACCTCCTGAGTAGCTGGAATTACAGGCATGAGTCACCACACCTGGCTAATTTCCTTTTTTTTTTTTCTTTGTTTTATAGAGATGGGGTTTCACTATGCTGGCCAGGCTTGTCTGAAGTCCTGACCTCGGGTGATCCACACACCTCGGCCTCCCAAAGTGCTGGGATTACAGGTGTGAGCCATCACTCCCAGCTCAAAAAACAGTGATTTTGCAAAGGACCCTAACCAAATGAATCTAGCTAGCCTCCAAGATTGCCCTGATGATCGCTGACTCCTGATGCTCAAAACCTGTGTCGCTCCCCACTCACAGTGAATCATGGTGACCTGTGTAACCAATAAAATGTTATACAAGTGACATAATGTGACCTCCAAGGTCACGTCGCAAAGGACACTGAGACCCTTGCCTTGTTCTAAGACCCCTTGCTCCATAGGAAGGCAGCTGCTGTGATGTGAGGACACTCAGCCACCCTGATGGAGAGGGGCCAGTGTACAAGTGACTTCTCAGCACTGTGTGAGCTGCCTGAGAAGCCAATCCGCTTGGCCAGGCATGGTGGCTCACACCTGTAATGCTAGCTCTTTGGGAAACTGAGGCGGGAGGATGACTTGAGCCCAGGAGTTAGAGAACAGCCAGTGAGACCCCGTCTCTACTAAAAATACAAACACTGGCCAGGCATGGTGGCATCTGGCTGTAGTGCCAGGGATTCTGGAGGCTGAGGTGGAGGATTGCTTGAGCCGGGATATCAAGGCTGCAGTGAGCTAAGATCACAGCACTCCAATCTGGGCAACAGAGCAGAGATTCTGTCTCTCTCTCTCTCAATAAATAAAGATAGCTACAGCCACTCCCCAACCTGAGCTATTAGTGACTCCCCTTTATCTGGTTTACCTTATCCATAACTCCCTCCTCAATGCATCTGTCCTCTGTTTCTCTCTTCATACATAATGTCCATTACAGCAAGGACTTTGCACTGTCATAGTCTGAGCATCTGAAAAAAATACCTGGCGCATAGACATTGGTTTGAGAAAATGAAGACAATGGTCCTTCAAGATGGCTCTTTTTGTGTTTATCCATAGGACACGTGGACAGAGGAGGGAGGAGGGATTAGGGGAACAGAAGTAATCCAACTTGGGTTTTGTTTTGAGACAGAGTCTGGCTCTGTCACCTTGGCTTGAGTGTAGTGGCACGATCTCAGCTCACTGCAACCTCTGCCTCCTGGATTCAAGCGATTCTCCCACCTCAGCCTCCTGAGTAGCTGGGATGCAGGCATGCACTACCAGCTAATTTTTGTATTTTTAGTGGAGACAGATTTCACCATGTTGGCCCGGCTGGTCTCAAACTCCCGACCTCAGGTGATCCACCTGCCTCGGCCTCCCAAAGTGCAACTTGGGTTTTACGAGCCAAATTAAATGTCTTCATCCAGTTGGAGACAGATATTTACAAACCAACCTGTTCAGGACATCTCACCTCGAGGATGAAAGAAATGACATCGAGGATGATGAGAACAATTTTAACATCTGGGGCAGTGAGCAGATTCACCAGGGGCTCCAGGATCCCAGAATGGACGAGCTGGATCAGCTGATCCAGGGTGGCCCCCATTACAAAGTTCGCCACCGTCCAGATAGCCTCTTTCTGGACTTTAAAGTCTCCCTGCAGAACAAGAACGTTTACATTCTCTACAGGTCCTGAAGAACCTACATACAGTGATACCAACTTGGTTCACTTTCTAGGGAGCCTGATGACAGCCAGGAATGCCTGTATCATTTACATAGAATGCCTTGGCTACTTGCCTCTAGTTCTTTTCCTTCCCCACCCCGGCCCCTGCCCCCGCCCCCTCGGCTCACTCTGTCTCCCAGGCTGGAGTGCAGTGGTGCAATCTCGGCTCACTGCAACCTCCATCTAGATTCAAGAGATTCTCCGACCTCAGCCTCCTGAATAACTGGGATTACAGGCACCTGCCACCAAGCCGGGCTAATTTTTGTACTTTTAGTAGGGACAGGGTTTCATCATGTTGGCCAGGCTGGTCTCAAACTCCTGACCTCAAGTGATCCTCCCATCTCAGCCTCCCAAAGTGCTGGGATTACAGGTGTGAGCCCCCATGCCCAGTCCCTGTCTCTAGCTTTTGATCAGAAGATGGCATCTTTGAAAAGCTAAGAAGCAGGCAGACAGACTGAGATGGGGTCTTAAAGGAGGCTCTAAGATTAAATAGACTCATGTGCCCACATCAGGCTATGGGAAAATGAAACTGACATTAACCAGTCCAGGTAACCTACATAGACGGAGTTATGCATGGGATTTTAGATAATAGTGACCTATGTCTGCATTTCTAGTCTTTCTGATCTAGTAAAGCTTTGGACAAGAAGGTAAAAAGGCTGGGAACACAGATAAAGCCTGAGGGACCAAGCCAGCCCAGAGGTGACAGAGAAAGAAATATTGCTCAATGAGCTGGGTGTGGTGGCTCACACCTGCAATCCCAGCACTTTGGGAGCCTGAGGCAGGCAGATTGCCTGAACTCAGGAGTTCAAGACCAGCCTGGGCAACGTGGTGAAACACTGTCTCTATTAAAAACACAAACTTAGCCAGGCGTGGCGGTGTGCACCTGTAATCCCAGCTACTCAGGAGGCTAAGGCAGGAAAATCACTTGAACCTGGGAGGCAAAGGTTGCAGTGAGCTAAGATCGTGCTACTGCACTCCAGCCTGGGCAACACAGCAAGACTCCGTAACAAAAAGAAAGAAAGAAACAGAAAAAGAAATAAAGAAAGATAGATTACTCAATAAATCTTTGCATTTATAAAGTATACTTGGCCCAGAGATATGGGAGGAGTTTATCTTCTATTTTTCTATTCCTATTTTATTATTCCCATTTTATGGCTGGGGAAAACTGACCTCAGTGTGAAAACACAAAACAAATAACTTATGGCTCCAATCAAGTTCTAGTTCAAAAGACGCCACTTGAAATATAAATGCTCTTTGCTTCATAACTAGATGTTTCTCACTAGAATATGTACAGATTCACAGGGGAGTGCAGGACAAGTAGTACTGAATAGACTGGAAGAAGCTATAATTTGGGTGACACGCCTTGCCTTTCTTGCCTAGCCTGTCATACCTGATGCACCCTTGGGAACCCACTACCCAGGAACACTGCCAGTAGCTTCTCCTCACCCCCATGGGACTCCACCTGCCTCCCCACTCCCAGCACAAGGTAACTACTCCTGACTACAGATGGTTTAAACACAGCTCAATTCTTTAAAGGTGGCAAAAAGAAAAATGCAAAGGATAGTCATTGCTCCTGCGAAAGAATGAAGCTTTTTTGTTTTTTTGAGACGAAGTTTCACTCTTGTTACCCAGGCTGGAGTGCAATGGCGCAGTCTCAGCTCACCGCAACCTCCGCCTCCTGTGTTCAAGCAATTCTCCTGCCTCAGCCTCCCGAGTAGCTGGGACTACAGGCATGCACCACCATGCCCAGCTAATTTTTGTATTTTTAGTAGAGATGAAGTTTCACCATGTTGACCAGGATGGTCTCGATCTCTTGACCTCATGATCCACCTGCCTTGGGCTCCTGCTTTTTTCTTTTTTTTAAGAGATGGAGTTTCACTCTTGTTGCCCAGGCTGGAGTACAGTGGCGTGATGTCGGCTCACTGCCACCTCTACCTCCCAGGTTCCAGCAATTCTCCTGTCTCAGCCTCCCAGGTAGCTAGGATTACAAGTGCCCACCACCATGCCCAGCGAATTTTTTGTGTTTTTAGTACAGACAGGGTTTCACCACATTGGCCAGGCTGGTCTTGAACTCCTGACCTCAGGTGGTTCACCTGCCTCAGCTTCCCAAAGTGCTGGGATTACAGGTATGAGCCACTGTGTCTGGCCCTTTTTTCTTTTCTTTTTTTGACACAGGGTCTCACTCTGTCCCACAGGCTGCAGTGCAGTGGTGTGATGCTAGTTCATTGCAACCTTGACCTCCCAGGCTCAATAGATCCTCCCAAGTAGCTGGGACTACCGGCATATGCCACCACGCCTGGCTACTTTGTGTGTGTGTGTGTGTGTGTGTGTGTGTGTGTGTGTGTGTGTGTGTGTACGTGTATATATATATATGATTTGTAAAGATGAAGTTTTGCCACATTGCCCAGGCTGGTCTTGAACTCCTGAGCTCAAACTTCCACACTACTCAGCCTCACAAAATGTTAGAATTACAGGCATGAGCCACTGTGCTCAGTCTGCTTTATCATATTTCTACATTTAGATTAGACTTTTGCTGACATTGCCACTTTAATCAATTTAACTTGGCTTCCCTTCAGTGTATGATGTCACCAGAGTCTGATAGGGTTTTCCTCCTAAAAACAAAAACTCCATCCTCTTTTGGTAGGGAGAGAATAGATGGCACATTCTTTCACCACCACTTAGACATAAGCCAATATTTACTAGCTCAAGAGCTTTCTGGATGTTTGAGCCATGGGGTCACTTTGTCACTGAACAATTTTTTTGAGATGGAGTCTTGCTCTGTTGCCCAGGTTGGAGTGCAGTGGCATGAGCTCAGCTCACTGCAACTTCTGCCTCCCAGGTTCAAGCGATTCTCCTGCCTCAGCCTCCCAAGTAGCTGGAGGTGCCTGCCGCCACACCCGGCTAATTTTTTGTATTTTTAGTAGAGATGGGGTTTCACCATATTGGTGAGGCTGAGGCAGGCGGATTACCTGAGGTCAGGAGTTGGAGTCCAGCCTCCACCGCACCCGGCCACATCTTTCGAATCTTGAATGGGGTCTTCAGAATGGAGTGCCCCCTTCCCTTTTTCAGGCAGACCTAGGAATCTCAGGTTTCATAGCGCCCCCGTGATCTCAATTAATTTGCTTGCCTATGTCTGGATTCCTGAAGGAGTTCAACCCAGTGCTATTGGAAAGTAGTCCTTTGCCATGGTCCCCGTGTGCACCACTTACGTGTTTTAGCACAGCCACCAAGGGAGGCAAGACGTCGTAGGCAAGCAGCTGCTGGATGTGGTGACAGGGCCCTGCTGCCACATTGCTCAGGGCCCAGGCGGCCTCCTTCTGGATAGAGGGCTTGTTATGTTGGAGGAGCTGGGGGAGCACGTTCAGTATGCCCGTGTCGATGGCCCTCTGCGTCTGTTCATCTGTGCCCGTGACAATGTTCCCCACGGTGCGGAGAGATGGGGTCTGGAAGAACAAGACTAGCCGTCTAAGTATTCCAAGTCTGTCACAGGAGAAGGCAACAATCACACCAACCCCTGTTCCCTCCCCGACGTTGTCATGCTGTGCCGATGGCAGTCTGGAAGTCTGTGCAGCGGAATTGTATCTGTGATCATTATTTATTCAACTCATGCATGGCCTTTTTATTTTTATTTATTTTAGAGGTAAGGTCTTACTGTTACTCAGGCTGGAATGCAGCGGCATGATCGTAGCTCACTACAGCCTTCAACTCTTGGGCTCAAGTGATCCTCTTCCCTCAGCCTCCCAAGTATCCAGGACTATAGGTGTGTGCCACCATGCCCAGCTAATTTTTAAATTTTACTGTAGAGGCAGGGGTCTTGCTATGTTGCCCAGGCTAGCCTCAAGTGATCCTCCTGCCTTGGCTTCCCTAAGTGCTGCCATTACAATCATCAGCTGCTACACCCTGGCCCATGGCTATCTCAATGTGATTTAAAGGAACTTTCAGGCCTCCGACTTATTTGGCTCAAGTGGGATAGAAATACCCAAAAAATATCTTTATTGAGAAATGCTGTTGTGCTTTTCATATGCTTTCAATTTCATCATTGAATGCTAAATTTATGATAGCCTTTTTTTTTTTTTGAGTCAGGGTCTTGCTCTGTCCCCCAGGCTGGAGTACAGTGGTGTGATTTTGGCTCACTACAACCTCCACCTCCAGAGTTCAAGCAATTCTGCCTCAGCCTCCTGAGTAGCTGGGATTATAGGCATGTACCATCACACCCAGCTAATTTTTATATTTTTAGTATAGACAGGGTTTCACCGTGTTGGCCAGGCTGGTCTCTAACTCCTGACCTCAAGAGATCAGCCTGCCTTGGCCTCCCAAAGTGCTGGGATGACAGGCATAAGCCACTGCACCTGGTGACTACTGCCTTTATCATATAATAATGACCGAATTAGCATTTAGCAGCAGTGTCAAACTCGTTGAATATTTAATTGAAGATAATGAGATCGAAATGGCATTTCTTGGTGTAGTCAGGAACCCCTTCACAATAACTCAGAAGATCCCCAGGACAGGTCTATGATTGGGCTCAAAACAATAACTCTCCTACAAGGGCTGATGATGGCTTTATTCAGATTTCTCTGCACTGTAGTGGCAGCCCCAATGAAGTCCAGCAACAGTTCTAGAATGTTCCTAGCCTATTAGGCTACTTACATGATACTAAAGTGAGAGGTATAAGTGGTACTTCAGGCCAGTCACGGCCTTACCAGGGCAGCTCCAAATAGACCACAGAACTCAGGGATAAGCAACTTATGGAATTTGCTTCCCCACTTTGGGAGTCCAAGGTGGGAAGATCACTTGAGGTCAGGAGCTCGAGACCAGCCTGGCCAACATGGTGAAACCCCATCTCTACTAAAAATACAAAAATTAGCTGGGCGTGATGGCGCATGCCTGTAGTCCCAGCTACTTGGGAGGCTGAGGCAGGAGAATCGCTTGAACCCGGGAGATGGAAGATGCAGGGAGTCTAGAGTGTGCCACTGCTCTCCAGCCTGGGTGGCAGAGTAAGACTCCATCCCCCGCCCAAAAAAAAAGCTTGTCTTACCTCATGCTCTCCATGCCCCTAGCACCATCCCCGAACCAACCTTGACATCTGAGAAATGAAGCTAATCTCAAAACAGATGATCATTAAGGCTGCAGAGTATGCAAAAGCAGGTAAAAGATTAGGGAAGTCAAGTGCGGGCAGCATAGAGGCATCTTCAGTATAATGCACCCACATTTCAAAGCAGTGTATGATGCAGGGAAGATGTTTAGGAACGTAACAAAGCAGCAGGGCACAGTGGCTCATGCGGTCATCCTAGCATTTCAGGAGCCTGAGGTGGGCAGATCACCTGAGGTCAGGAGTTCAGGACCATCCTGGCCAACTGGTATAATCCTGTCTCTACTAAAAATACAAAAATTAGCCAGGCATGGTGGTAGTGGGCACCTGTGAGCCCAGCTACTGGGGAGGCTGAGGCAGGAGAACCGCTTGAATCCAGGAGGTGGAGGTTCCAGTGAGCTGAGATCGTACCACTGCATTCCAGCCTGAGTGACAAGAGTGAGACTATCTCAAAAAAAAAGAGAGAGAGAGAGAGAGAATAGCAAAGACCAGGGAAATGCAGATGACAAGCTTTGTCCCAGAACCTGCTGAAATGACTATGACTCAAGGACACGAATCTGCAGGGCCCGTGATAACATTTACCAAGACGTTGAGCTCTGAGCTGTTCAAGAGCGCCACCAGCCTGGGCAGGACCCCCGTGTCAACCACTTGGCCGATGCGCTTGCTGCAGCTGTCAGTGAGGTAGGACAGCGCCCAGCAGGCGTCGGAGAGAACCTCGGTGTCATGGTGCTGTAGGAGGTGGAGGAGGGCCGGCAGTATCTGCTTCACCGCAGCGTCACAAGGGTACGGGTTCTTGTTTCGGCACAGGTTCGACAAGGTCCACGTGATATTCCGCAGGAATGTGATCTGTAACAAGGAGACTGCCTCCAGCATCCGGTGTAAAGGAGAGAAAATGCAAACAGCTGTGTTCTTACCATTTCCAATCAGTATCATGGATCAGCATGAACCAGAACTTTTTAACATTTTCATTTATTTATTTATTTATTGGGACAGTCTTGCTCTGTCACTCAGGCTGGAGTGCGGAGGCACAATCTTGGCTCACTGCAACCTCTGCCTCCCAGATTGAACCGATTCTCCTGCCTCAGCCTCCTGAGTAGCTGCAGTTACAGACTTCCATCATGCACGCCCAGCTCATTTTTAAAATTTTTAGTAAAAATGGGGTTTTGCCATACTGCCCAGGCTGGTCTCAAACTCCTGGCCTCAAGTGATCTGCCGGCCTCAGCCTCGGCCTCCCAAAGCGCTGGGATTACAGGCTGTGTGCCCGGCTAAATCAGAGCATTAAGCTTCAACTAGAAATGTGTTCTAGGCAGTGATGTATATTACGGACAGGATGAGCTTTATATTTCACATTCCAACATTAGGTGGAGCCTTCCTTGTGTCTTTCAAACTGTTCTTTCCCAAGCAAGAGTTACTTGGTCTTTCCACTGGTCTAGACCACCACCTGCGTGTCATCTCCATATTTCTGGTCTTCCGTTTGAGGATAAGTCTTCCTACTCTGCCTCTGAATCCCATCCATTTTGGCCTTTAATAATGATTAGTTTTAGGTTTTGTAGAGGAGGTCTTACTATGTTGCCCAGTCTGGACTTCAATTACTGGACTCAACTGGTCTGCCTACCTCAGCCTCCCAAAGTGCTGAGATCACAGGCGTGAGTCACCACACCTGGCCCTTATTTTTTGCCTTTACAGATTCTGCCCAGAATCACCTCTGACCCCAAGTCACTCCCACCAATTAAAAAAAAATTCTGGGACTGTCAGCCGCTCCCCCTTCCACCCCTCCTAGCCATCACCCAACTTCTTTCAGAGTCCATCCTCAAGGAGGCATCTATATTCACTACCTCCCAGATTCCCAATTGTTGGGGTTTTTTTTTTTTTGAGACAGGGTCTCACTCTGTTGCCCAGGCTGCAGTACAGTGGCACGATCATAGCTCACTATAGCCTCCACCTCCCAGACCCAAGTGATCCTACCTTGGCCTCCTGGGTAGCTACAGCTTGAGGCATCCTTTTTTGTAGAGACAATGTCTTGCTATGTTGCCCAGGCTGGTCTCCAACTCTGGGTTCAAGGAATCCTCCCACCTCGGCCTCCCAAAGTACTGGGATTACAGGCATGAGTGCCTGGCCTCCAGCTGTTCTTCAGGCCATTCTAGTCATGTTTCTGCCTCTAATTCTTTGGGGTTAGGAATGGGAATCAGCTCCTTCCAAGTCAGCAACTGTTTCTTGGTCCTAAAGGGACTGTCTCTCTCAGCTGTGGTGAGTAGTCAGCCCTTCCCCTTTTGAAAAAGATCTTCTTGGCAACTGTGACACCACGCCTGGTTTTCTACGGCCAAATGAGCTGTTGCTACTCGGTCTTTCTGACAGGCTCTGCCCGACTTTAGAACCTTAGAGCCCGCAGGACTGGGTCCCAGGCCCTCCTCACACTCAAGGTCAGGGGTTGGCAAGCTCTTTCTATAAAGGGCCAGATCGTAAACATTTTCAGCCTGTGGCCTCTGTGGTAACAGCTCAACTCTATCCTTGCAGCTCAGACAGTATGTAAATAAACGAGCGTGGCTGTGTGCCAGTAAAACTTTTTTCTTGAGACAGGGTCTCACTCCCAGGCTAGAGTACAGTAATGCAATCATAGCTCACTGCAGCCTCCATCTCAAGCAATCCTCCCACCTTGCCTTCCCAAGTATCTGGGACTACAGACAAGTGCCACCATGCCCAGCTTGATAAAACTTTGTTTACAAAGCAAGCAGCTGGTCAGGACAGGTTTGTGACCCCTAGCCCCAGTTGACCTTGCCCAACTGGGTGATACATACATATAGGTCACCCAGGGGGACACATCTCTCAACCCAACTCTGCTGTAATGTGTCTCTAACTTGCTTCAACCCAACCCCTGCAATGAAAGGTCCGATTTCTTTTTTTCCTGCACTTTCTCCTTTCTCCAGGAAGACAGTCATCTGAACAACCTAACCTGAAACCTAGGGGCATCCTGGCTTCTTCCTGTCTCCCCTTCATGTCTATGATAGCGACATCCCAGACCCACCTGCTTCATCATCTCCCTCTGCTATATAATTCTACTTCAGGCAGCCAGACGGGTGTTTCTGGAAGATCAGACCACTTTATTCCCTTACCTCAAAATCCTCCAAAGCCTCCCCATTGCCAGCAAGAGGGTGTCTAAGCCCTTTCCCTGCTTGACATTGTAAGTGTTCTCTAGTTGGAACCCACCTCGGGTCATGGCTAGTCTTTTATTTTGTTCAACCATGTCAGATTTTCTTTCCAGCTTGAGGTGTTTGTTTTGTTTTGTTTTTTGACAGAGTCTCACTCTGTTGCCAGGATGGAGTGCAGGGGCGCAGTCTTGGCTCACCACAACTTCCGCCTCCTAGGTTCAAGCAATTCTCCTGCCTCAGCCTCTGAGTAGCTGGGATTACAGGGCCCACTTACACGCCCGGCTAAGTTTTGTATTTTTAGTAGAGACCGGGTTTCACCATATTGGTCAGGCTGGTCTCGAACTCCTGACCTCAGGTGATCCACCTGCTTCAGCCTCCCAAAATATTGGGAATACAGGCATGAGCCACCGCGCCCAGCCAAAGGTTTTGAACATAGTCCCCTGGCTTCTTTTTGTTTGAGGCCAACCTAGAACCCTGTTCCTAAACCAGAAGTCCTCTTCAACCAACAACCACAATCAACCAAACTTGACTCTCAGCCTCAAAAGAAGATCCTGTTCCCCATGAACAGAACTGATGAGACATTAACCCATTTATGCCAGAAGTTGCAACATTTTTGTGGTGAAAAATCAGACCTTGGTGATGACCTTGAGCAGGTTATAAATAACTCCCACAAGCTTAGCGTTCCAATAATGGAACACCAGGCATAAATATTAAACTGTGATCCTAGAATGGAAATCTCAGCCATCTATTTTGCAAGATGGTAAGCTTGTGGACTTCTTCCAGTGCCTCAAAGAGAAGGATCAGTGCTACTGGTCCCTAAAGACAGAACGGAATCAATCTTTACCTAAAATGATACTCAGTCCTAAGCTAATAACTTGCTACTATTGTTGTTGTTTTTTTTTTTTAGAGACAGAGTCTCAATCTGTCACCCAGGCTGGAGTACAGTGGTGTGATATTGGCTCACCGCAGCCTCCATCTCCTGGATTCAGCCTGAGCCTCCTCCTGCCTCAGCCTCCTGAGTAGCTGGGACTACAGGTGTACACCATCACGCTTGGCTAATTTTTTTTTATTTTTAGAAGCAGGGTCTCACCTATGTTGCCCAGGCTGGTTTTGAACTCTTGGTGTCAAGTGATCCTTCTGTCTTAGTCCAGCAAGCACTGGAATCACGACATGAGTTGCCGTGCCTAGCCCTGAGCCTTGTTTTCAAGTCCCTAAGAGACCAGACAGCACCCACATGATCTAGCATTGATTTGGAAGTACTTCCCAATTTCCCAACATTAGAATTTGTTACCTAGCTAGGTTATCTCGCATTTAGACACTCGCTTGGCCTGGTACTGTGGCTCACGTCCATAATCCCAGAACTTTGAGAGGCTGAGGTAGGAGAATTGCTTAAGGCCAGGAGTCCAAGACCAGCCTGGGCAGAATAGTGACACCCATCTCTTAAAATTATTTTTAAATTTTAATTCAAAAAAATAAAGAGAAAGAAAAAGATACTCACTGGTAGGGTATGTGAAATCAAAGCCAGCAGATGTGGGATAGCATTGCTCGAGATGATCTTGTCTCTGAACTCTGGGCCGTCACCTACAAATAGATCAGAATGTGACATTCAGGGAGAGAACAAAGACAATCCTCAAGCGGGTGACCTGTTTTTTAAGTCTGTGCAAAGGGCAAGAGAAAAAAACTCATTCCTGGGTTTGGCAAGTAGGTAGTATAGCCACGTACTCAGTTCTGGGTGTCTGGCGTGGCTGGTGGGTGGACAGTCCCGGTGTAACAAGCAGGCATCCCTCGTCAGCAATGTTAGAAGCAGAGGCTATCGACATAGCAGAGCCAGCCAACTCAGCCAAGGTGGGCTGGTGGCATGTCACAGCATGGTTCTTAGGAAGACGAATGCTGGTGCAGACCAAGTTGTCTTCCCAGAAGACCCTGGCACAGGGCAATCACTTCCAATGCAACTCAGAGCAGTCTGGGGATCCGTAGGTGCTGATGACCAGCTACCTTAGCTAGGATAAGCATTTTGGACCCATAAGTCTATTTGTATTTGTTAACCACAAGGCAAGGTGTCACATCATACCCTCCAGTCTTGCCTACTTTACTGCACACCAAGAAAAATGAAAGACAGCTTCTCCAGTAGGTACTTTCCTTCTGCAAGCTGTTTTTTTTTTTCAAGACAGGATCTTACCCTGTTGCCCAGGCTGGAGTGCAGTGGTACGATCATAGCTCACTGCAGTCTCGACCGCCAGGACTCAATCAATCCTCCCACCTCTGCCTCCTGAGTCCCTGGGACTATAGGCATGCATCACTATGCCTAGTGAATATTTTTATTTTTTGTAGAGACGAGATCTCATTACATTGCCCAGGCTGGTGTCAAACGCCTGGGCTCAAGCAATCCTCCCACCTCTGCCTCCTATAGTGCGGAGATGAAAGGCATAAGCCACTATGCTAAGCCTCCGCAAACATTTTTGTGTTGTTTTGTTTTAGCAGTTATTTTACATTCTGTTTGCTAATTCCAATATGTGAAATCCTTGGAGGTCTAATCGTACCATTTCTGCTGACTCAGTCCTGGTGGGTTGTTGCTTCTCTGAACTTGAAAATGCTAATAGTTGGCTGATCTTAATTTGTCAAAATCCTAAGGGACTCAACTCAGTTTTCCTTAAAAAGTTACTGGATTGATGCCAACCAGGAATCTGAGGGCTTCCAACACTACAGCACTAACTCACTAGGCCCCGAAGGAAACATGGCATTGAGCGTGTTTCAAAAAAAAAGAGTCTTCAGATTGCATTTGCAGGGAATGCTTTTTAGCCCAAACCAAGGAGTTTCATTTTTGTTTTTGTTTTTGGCATGCTCCCTTAGCGACTTCCACTGAAGGCAGAGTCCTTCTAGGGTCCCAAGTTATGTCAGGGTCTGTCATAAACTCCCACACCGCATGAGCCAAAGACTTGTTCTTGAAGCCACTAAGCCCTGAGGCTGTAGGACCCTGGTATTGACAGATAGCTCTAATTAGTCCATGGCTTCAGTACACACTGTATCATCCTGTTTCAGCTTCAATATTTGGCCTCTAAACTTGGATTCGAAGGGGGTTTTCTTGAGACAGAGTCTCCCTCTGCTGCCCACACTGGAGTGCAGCGGTACAATCTACTCCTCCCGGGTTCAAGCAATTCTCCTGTCTCAGCCTCCCAAGTAGCTGGGACTACAGGGCACACGCCACCACACCCAGCTAATTTTTGTATTTTTAGTAGAGATGAGGTTTCGCCATGTTGGTCAGGCTGATCTCAAACTCCTAACCTCAAAGTGATCCATCCACCTCGGCCTCCCCATGTGCAGGAATTACAGCTGTGAGCCACCGTGCCTGGCCTGGCTCTGAGCTATGAAATAGCTCATTGTACTCTTGACAGCACTTCTAGGTATTTACGTGGCAATGGGTTCTGGGACATTGAGTGTACCCCACCAACCAAAGGCCCCCCCTTTTCTTAGCCCGCTAAGGGGAGAGTCTCACCAGCTATGTTACCAAGAGCCCACACTGCCTGTTCACACACAGCCAGGTTGGGGGAAGACAGGAGCGCGATCAAGGGCTGGATGGCTCCCCCTTCTACCACAGCTCGAGTCTGCTCCGAAGTCCCCGCAGCAATGTTGGTGAGGGCCCAGGCGGCCTCAAACTGCAAGCAGGGGTAAAGTGATGACTTCAGGAACTCCACCATCCTGGGAATGAGGCCTGCGTCGACAACCAATTTCAGAGGGGGGTTGTTTTCCTGCGATAGCATTTTCCTATGCATTGAAAGAGAGGTTGGGGAGGGGAAGGTCATGTGAGGGAGGTTTTAAGGACTTTTTTTAGGCCAGGTGCTGTGGCTCACACCTGTAATCCTACCACTTTGAGAGGCCGCAGCGGGCAGATCATTTGAGGTCAGGAGTTCAAGACCAGCCTAGCCCACATGGTGAAACCCCCATCTGCATAAAAAAAATACAAAAATTAGCTGGGCATGGTGGTACATGCCTATAATCCCAGTCTCTTGGGAGGCTGAGGCATGAGAATCACTTGAACTCAGTAGGCAGAAGTTGCAGTGAGCCAAGATCGTTCCACTACACTCCAACCTGGGTGACAGACTGAGACTCTATCTCAAAAAAGAAAAAAAAAACCCAAAAACCTCCTTTTATACATGTTCTTGGCATCCCTAACTATCAGATGAGGCACATAACGAGGTCTGGGCTATTTTACATACTAGTGTTCAGACAATAGCATTTTGCAGTGATCAAGCAACACTGGCCCCTTTAAGGTATTATCCACAAGCTGAAATTTCTGTAGACGCCAATGTAAATTCAGCAATTCATTTCTGACAACACATCGAATCCTTTAAATCGCCCTCAAGGACAGTGTAGAACTGCAATCTCGTTTCACTTGTAGATGGGCCAGCCTTTTGTGTGTGTTTTACAGGCATATTGCCAATGCCAAGAAACCAAATAGGCCACTGGACCTCATGGCTAACTATGAACCTGCTAACAGCAGAAGTCTGTTTGGAGAGATACCTGGCTGTCTGGGTGGCCTGGAAACACAGGGCTGGATCTGAGCTATTCACACCTTGGATTATTTCACCCAGAGTGAGGCTGACCTGCAAGGAGAGAAACATTGAGGTCAGATTCTCTGCCAAAAGGAGCTGTCAACATCACCTCATCTAGCCATCACCCAGCTGATTAAAACAGGCTGGCTTGAACAGGACGTCCCATCTTGCATGCTGTTCTCTATTGGGGGAGGCAAGAACATTTGGTGATCCACAGTTCTCACAGATCTGGGTGACACTTCCCATGCTTAGGGGAGAAGTCATTCCTATCATTACTGGGATCCCAAGAACATTTTTATCCCATGCAGTAAGAACTTGCTACTGGATACGAAACACGGCAGACTAAGGACGTCCAAAAAATTCCCTCCTCCATAGAAGCAATAAGAAAACTGACCAAAATAGAATCAACTTTTCAGCACTGTAGAAATTGACCAAAGGCTTGCAGTCAGTTGTTTTATTCAAGCCAGGAAGTGCTCATCCAGGAAAGACAGCTGAATCTCAGTAAGAATCATGAGAGTGGCTGGGCCTGGTGGCTCACACCTGTAATTCCAGCATTTTGGGAGGCCAAGGCAGGCAGATCATGAGGTCAGGAGATTCAGACCATCCTGGCCAACCCTGAAACCCTGTGTCTATGAAAAACACAGAAATCAGTTGGGCATGGTGAAATGCTCTTATAGTCCCAGCTACTCATGAGGCTGGGGCAGAATAGCTGGAACTCGGGAGGCAGAGGTTGTAGTGATCCGAGATCGTGCCACTGCACTCCAGCCCACCAGAGTGAGACTCTGTCTCAGAAAAAAAAAAAAAGAATCACGAGAGCTCTGTGGCACTTTGCCCTATTCCTGTCCACCCTCAGCTCCATGGTAGCCTTGAAAACCAATAGTCCACAATCATTGTGAAAAACCAATGGCTACCACAGCCACCAGAAGAGGCAAAATGAGTAGGTGCTCCTTTGAAGCTCCATTCCCAGAAAATTATTATTTGATCTTCCTGGTCATTCCCTGAAAGACCCCACTTACAGACCATGCTGACTCAGAGCTTACTCAGTGTGAAAAGGCCTTTCCCTAAGAATGTTCATTGATAACAGAGTAAGTTGTTTAACTTCACAGCTACCTGAGAGGTTGAATAACAGTTGGGATAAACAACAAGCTAACACAAAAACTTGAAAGGAATATCTGAGGAATTAGATGTTCCTTGGGGCTTTGAAAGTTCTGACATATTCCTAAGAATCTAGGAGGTCACGTGCACATACAGGGCTATGCACATGCTAAAAACAATAACAACAAAAACTAAGACCCTCAGCTGTCACCTCTCGCTGACCTTAAGGCTCTATGCAAACAGAAAGTGAAGGCTTACAGCAGAATTGTTAACTGCCTGGCTGGGTGATAAAGGCATGCCCCCAACACACAGCTTCTTGGTAAAAATTGAGTGTTCTTTTCCTTGTGGTTCAAAGTGCTAAAATAAATCTCTGATTAGTTGACATTAAGCAAACTGAGCCGAGACTTCAGTAGCCACACATCACAAAAAATACAGATTTTAGATAATTAGTTCAGAAATTACTAAACAAGCACAGCCAGCAACAACAACAAACCCTGGGGCAATGGAAAGTCTGATTTCTAGAGTTGTCACACTATTTTAAATGACTAGTTTTCAACAATTATGAGACAAGCAAAGAACGTGTGACACACACATATACATATATATGTGGGAAAAAAGCAATCAATAGAAATGGTTCCTGAGGAGACCAGATGTTCAACTAGAAAAAGATTTTAAATATAGTAAAAGAACTAAAGTAAACCACGACCAAAGGACTAAAGTACAAGAAAGATGTCTCACCAAAGAGCGAATATCAATGAACAGATATAAGCTATGAGAAGGATCCAGATACAAATTCTGGAATTGGAGAATAACAAAAAATTCACTCAAAGGGCTTAACAGCAGATTTAAGCAGATAGAATACAGCAGCAATGAAGCTGAAGATAGGTTAAGTGAAATTATCCAGTCTGAGGAAGATAACACACGGAAGAAACTGAAGATAAAATCTGACAGATTTTTAGAGATCTGTGGGACACCCTCAAGGATACCAACAGATGCACAATAGGGAGGAGAGGAGGGAAAAAGACAGAAAGTATATTTAAAGAAATAATGGCCAAAGAAATTCCCAAATCCAACAGAATAATTAGTCTACACATCTGAAAAGCTCAATGAACTCCAAATAGAATAAATCCCAAGATCCAGACAAATTATAATCTAACTGTTGAAAGCCAAAACTATAGAATCAAAAACATTGAAACTGGCAAGAGAGAAGCAACTCATGTACAAAGCCTCAGTAAGATTAACAGCTGATCTCTTATCAGAAAACGTCAAGGCCAAAAAGCTGAGGTGCGGTGAGCCAAGAACACACCATCACACTCCAGCCTGGGGAACAAGAGCAAAACTCCATCTCAAAACAGAAAAAAAAAAAAGAAGAATCTTTACCAATTTCACAAAATAAATCTCTCACCCATTCTTTGAGGCTACTGTTACTTTGATACCAAACTAAGGACACTACAAGAAAAGTACACACCAATATACCATATAACTACAGATGCAAAAATTCAACAATAGGAGGAAACCAAATGCACAAATGTATGAAACATATGATTAACATATTGGTCATCATGATGAATTAGGATTTAATCCAAGAATTCAGGAGTGGTTTAACATGTGAAAAAATCAACCTAGTACCCTGTATTAGTAAGGGAGAAAACCCACATGATCATCTCAATGCTGAAAAAGCATTTGACAAAATTCAACATATTTTCATAATTAAAAAAACGCTCAACAAACTGATATAAAAGGTAACATCTTCATTCTGATAAGGCATCTACAAAAAACTCAGAGGTAACCTCATACTTAATGGTGAAAGTCTAAAGGTTTCCCCCAAGATCAGGAATAAGACAAGGATGTGCTCTTTTCACTTTTATCCAATATGGTATTGGAAGTTCTAGATGCATTAATTAGGCAACAAATAAAGTGAACCCAGATTGGAAAGGAAGAAATAAAACTATTTGCAAGTGACATAATCTTTTTTTTCCCCCAAGACAGAGTCTTGCTCTATCGCCCAGGCTGGAGTGCAGTAGCGTGATATCAGCTCATTGCAACTTCCACCTCCTGAGTTCAAGTGATTCTCCTGCCTCAGCCTCCCAAGTAGCTGGGATTACAGGCACGTGCCACCATGCCCAGCTAATTATTGTATTTTTAGTAGAGATGGGATTTCACCACGTTGGCCAGGCTGGTCTCAAACTCTTGACCTCGTGATCTGCCCACCTCAGCCTCCCAAAGTGCCGAATCCTGGGATTACAGGTGTGGGCTACCATGCCTGGTTGACATAATCTTATATATAGAAAATTCTAAGGAATTTACACAAAAAGCCTAGAGCTAATAAATTCAGCTAGGTTGCAGAATTGATACACAAAAATTAATTGTATTTTTATACACTAGCAGTGATCAAAAATCAAAAAGCAATTTAATTTACAATAACATAAAAACAATAAAATGCTTAGTAATAAATTTATCAAAAGAAATGTGAGTTTTATAATGCAACTGTAAAAAATTAATAATAAAGAGAACTGAAATAAATGAAAAGGTATCCCACGTTCATGGACGGGAAGACTTCATATTAAAATGGCAATACTCCACCTTATAGGTTCAATGACTCCACTCTATAAGTTTAATGCAATCTCCATCAAAAGCTGAGCTGCCTTTATGGAATAAATTGACAAGCTGATTTTTAAATTCATATAGAAATACAAAGGATCCAGAATAGCCAAAATTATATTGAAAAAAAGGACAAAGCTGGAAGACTCACACTTCTCAATTTCAAACCTTACCACAAAACTACAGTAATCAAATATTTGATGGCATAAAGATAAACATATAGACCAATGGAAGAGAACTGACAGTCCACAGATGAACTCTTATATTCATGGTCAATTGATTTTTTTGACAAAGGTACCAAGAAAATTCAATGGGTAGAAAATAGTCTCATCAAATAATTGTGCTCGTACAACTATGATCATATGCAAAAGCACAAAGTTGAACTTCTCCTCTATTTACAAAAATTAACTCCAAATGGCTCAAAGGCCTAAAAGCAAGAGCTAAAATTATAAACTCTTAGAAAGAAACATAAGCATAAATCTTTGTGACCTTAGATTAGGCAATGGATTCTTGAATATGACACCTAAAACACAGCCAAGAAAATAAGCTAGACTTCTTCAAAATTAAAAACTGTTATGCTTCATAGGATACTATCAAAAAGTGAAAAGACAACCCACAGAGCAGTAGAATATATTTGCAAGTCATATCTGCTAAGGTTTAATATCTAGAATATAAGGAATTCTTACAACTCAATAAAACCCAATTTATTTGACTTAAAAATAGACTCCCCCCCCCGCCCGCCGCCCCCGCCAAGATAGTCTTGCTCTGTCACCCAGGTTGGAGTGCAGTAGCATGACCTCAGTTCACTGCAACCTCTGCCTCCTGGGTTCAAGCAATTCCCCTTCTCAGTCTCCCAAGTAACTGGGGTTACAGGCACCCACCACCACACCTGGATAATTTTTGTATTTTTACTAGAGATGGGACTTCATCATGTTGGCCAGGCTAGTCTCAAACTCCTGACCTCAAGTGATCCACCCACCTTGGCCTCCCAAAGTGCTGGGATTATAGGTGTGTGAGTTGCTGTGCCCAGTCAGAATAGACATTTTTCCAAAGAAAATACACAAATAGTCATTAAGCACATGAAAAGCACATCCTAGTACTTTGGGAGGTCGAGGTGGGAGGATTACTTGAGGCCAGGAGTTCAAGACCAGACTGGGCAACATAGTGAGAACCCCATCTCCACCAAATAAATGTTTAAATTAGCTAGGTGTGGTGGTGTATGCCTGTAGTCCCCCCTACTTAGGAGGCTGAGGCAAGAGGATTGCTTGAGCCCAGGAGTTTGAGGCTGCAGTGAGCTATGATCATAACACTGCATTCCAGCCTGAGTGACACAGCAAGACTCTGTCTCAAAACATCAACCAAAAAAGGTAAAACATGAAAATCATAAAATCATAGTAACATAGTTTTTTTAACCCACTAGATAGCTATAATTATAAAAAATAAACAATTACAAGTATTGTTAGGAATGTCAAGATGTATGGTGGTGGAACCACTTTAGAAAATGGCTTGACATCATGTTTCCTATTGCTGCTGCAAAAGCTACCACAGACTTAGTCACTTAGAACACACAGACTTATTCCTGTGGTTCAGAAGGTCAGAAGTTCATAATAGATTTCACTGGGCTAAAATTAAGATATCAACAGGGCTAGTTCCCCCTGAAGGCTCTGAGAGGAGAATCTGTTTCCTTGCTCTTTTCAGCTTCTCATGTATTCCTTGACTTGTGGTCCCTCCCTCCATCTTCAAAGCACACCAGGCTAATATCTGCCCATCTCCCCCCATGCAGTGGTTTTTTTTTTTTTTTTGGAGACAGAGTCTTGCTCTGTCACCCAGGCTGGAGTGCAGTGGTGCAGTGATCTTGGATCACTGCAACCTCTGCCTCCCAGGCTCCGGTGATTCTCTTGCCTCCACCTCCTGAGTGGCTGAGATTACAGGCACACACCACCACATCCAGCTAATTTTTGTGTTTTTGGTAGAGATGGGGTTTCACCATGTTGGCCAGGCTGGACTTGAACTCCTAACCTTAAGTGATCCTCCCACCTTGGCCTCCCAACGTGCTGGGATTACAGGTGTGCACCACCACACCCGGCTAATTTTTTTATTTTTAGTAGAGATGAGGTTTCACCATGTTGGCCAGGCTGGTCTCGAGCACCTGATCTCAAGTGATCCTCCTGCCTGAGCCTCCCAAAGTGCTGGGATTACAGACATGAGCCACCATCCCTCACATCTGCTTTTATCATCACATTGCTCTTCTTATAAGACCCATTGAATGCCAGTCCTACCCATATAATACAGAATCACCTCTCTATCTCAAAGTTCTCAACTTGATCACATCTGCAGGGTCCCTTTCGTCATAGAGTAACATTCACAGGTTTGGGGATTAAAAGATGCAGACACTTGGGGTGCCATAATACAGTCTACCACAAAGAGTGAAACAGACTCAGCACATAACCTAGTTATTCTCAGTGGAACTGAAGACATCCATCCACATAAAAACTTGTACACAGATGTTAATGACAGCACTCATCATAATAACGAAAAAGTAGAAACAACTCAAATGTCCCCCAACTAATAAATGGATAAACAGGCCAGGCACGGTGGTTCATGCCTGTAATCCCAGCACTTTGGGACGCCAAGGTGGGCGGACTGCTTGAGGTCACGAGTTCAAGACCAACCTGGCCAACATGGTGAAATCCCCTATCTACTAAAATACAAAAATTAGCCAGGCTTGGTGGCATGGGCCTCTAATCCCAGTTACTCGGGAGGCTGAGGCAGGGCAATCGCTTAATCCCAGGAGGCGAAAGTTGCAGTGAGCCGAGATTGCGCCACTACATTCCAGCCTGGGCGACAGAGTGAGACTTATATTTATTTATCTTATAAACAAATAGATACACAAACTGTGGTCTACCCATACAACTGAATGTCATTCTGTCCAAAAGGAAGGAAGTACTGATACAGGCTACAACATGAACTCTGAAAACATGAAAGCTAAACACAAAAGCTTGCATGTCGTATGACTGCATTTACAGGGAATGTAGAGAAGAGGTTACTCAAGAGACAGAAAGTAGACTAGTGCTTGCAGGGACTGTAGTGGGTGAGGAATGGGGAGTGACTACTGAATGAGTGTGGAGTTTCTATTCGAGGTGATGAATAGGTTCTGGAATTATCTAGTGGTGATGGTTGCACAACTTGGTGACTATATTCGAAACCACTGATCAGGTACTTCAAGAGTGAATTTTGAAGTATGAGTTATACCTACATTTCTTTGAATTAAAAAAAAAAAAAAAAAAACGCTAATATAGAACCAAAAGGTAAGCAACTTTTTTCTCTTTTTTTGAGATGAAGTCTCGCTCTGTCACCCAGGCTGGAGAGTAGTGGCATGATCTCGGCTCACTGCAACCTCTGCCCCCCAGGTTCAAGCGATACTCCTGCCTCAGCCTCCCGAATAGCTGGGATTACAGACACACCCCACCACGCCTGGCTAGTTTTTGTATTTTTAGTAGAGACTGGGTTTCACCATGTTGGCGAGGCTGATCTCAAACTGCTGACCTCAGGTGATCCACCCACCTCAGCCTCCCCAAGTGTTGGGATTACAGGTGTGAGCCACTGCATCTGGCCTTATTTTCCCTTTTGTTTCATACCTTTCTTGGATGGGGGATTCCAGGGACTGCTCCAAACGAATGAAGCTAACTAGAGAACTAGTTCAGATTCCTATGGTAATTCAGAGAATGACTACCCATTTCAATGATGAATGGGAAGGCACCACTGGACCCATGTGGTAAAAATGAAAGCGGACTCTGTCCTCTAAGAGCCCTAAGCCTAGCAGGGTAAAAAGGGTACATGTGGGTAATTAAGGTAGGACACAGACAGTAGTGTACCCCAAAAGACATACAGAGGCAACATTATTGAGGTGCTAAGAAGGAAAACTTCTGGTCAAGGCATTCGGGATTCACAGAAACCAAACTAACCTTGAAGTCAACCCAACTAACCTTGAATCTGCATTTAATGAAGTTGGGGTAAATGGAGAAGGGAAGATTTAACCCAGGGACTAGATGCCTCCACTGAGAAATAACCTTCACCCACCCTCATTTCCTCAGTTTTCAGGCTTACAGGTAGCAAGTGAATTTTCAATGAGAAATAATCACCTTTTTGGCCAGGCGCAGTGACTCACGCCTGTAATCCCAGTACTTTGGGAGGCTGAGGCGGGCAGATCACTTGAGTCAGGGGTTTGAGACCATCCTGGGCCACAGGGCAAATCCCTGTCTCTATAAAAAACACAAAAATTCATCAGGCATGGTGGTGAGTGCCTGTAGTCCCAGGTATTCTGGAAGCTGAGCCAGGAGGCTCATTTAAACCCAGGGAGGTTAGGGCTGCGATGAGCTCTGATTGTGCCACTGTGCTCCAGCCTGGGTGAGAGAGAGAGACCCTGTCTCAAAAATTAAAAATTAAAGAGATAAAAATGTAAGCTGGGCATGGTAGCTCACGCCTTTAATCCCAGCACTTTGGGAGGCCAAGGTGGGCAGATCACTTGAGATAGGGAGTTAGAGACCAGCCTGACCAACATGGAGAAACCCCGCTCTACTAAAAATACAAAATTAGCTGGGTGTGGTGATGCATGTCTGCAATCTCAGCTACTCAAGAGGCTAAGGCAGTCACTTGAACCCGGGAGGCAGAGGTTGCAGTGAGCCAAGATCACACCATTGCACTCCAGCCTGGGAAACAAGAATGAAACTCTGTCTCAAAAAAGAAGAAAAAAGTAAAATAAAAAAAGAAATAGCACCCTTTCCATCCCCAACTAGGACCTAGATTCCACAGCTCACAAACACAGGAGTAATGGCCATTTTCCTTTTGACAAAGGCAGTTTAGTTGAAACTATAATCTCTTCACTCTTTTCTTTAAAAGCCCCAAATGAGAGTTTGCAAATTCTGAATCTATTAAACATTTTCCTGCCAGAGACACTAAGAACATATTTTGCACAAGACTGCTCTAAACACTATGTACTGACCGTCACCCCTTTGGCTGTTTTTTCAGAAGGGGTATCAGGGCAGAAGCTGGTGATATTCCTTCTCTTTAATGTCTGTTCATCCTTCTTGGCCTTTCGGAGCTTCAGGCTGACTGCCATCCTCTGCTGTCGCCTCAGCTAGTGAGGAAAAGAAATTGGAGCATTTAGAACCAGGAGTGGGGATGTCACCACATTTAGTCTGTCAAACACGTTTCAAAGTATCCAGTCTCATTTTTACAAATCCAACAGGCTGAAAGAGTTCAGATCACAGTTAATAAATCATCTCAGCTGTTTATATCCTCTTCTGCTTTCTCTTCTATCATGTCTAGAAAATAATTCGATCTTCCTTCCAAAATAAAGCAAGACCATGTACAACCTTGACAGGTCAGGATTCTCAGCTGTAAAAACACCTCAGCAAAGCATCCTATTTCCCTTCACAAGTCTGAACGCATCTTCACCAATGCTGATCGGTTCCTGAAGAGTATGGCTGCTTCTTGAATGTGCCCAGGCCTTTTCAGTGGTGGCTTAATAGGTGGTGCCATCGATAATTAGGGGACTGTCCATGTCCTAGATGCCCTGATCATTTCCACTACTTTTTTGAGATGGAGTTTCACTCTGTCACCCAGGCTAGAGTGCAGTGATGTGATCTTGGCTCACTGCAACCTCTGCCTCTGGGGTTCAAACCATTCTTGTGTCTCAGCCTCAAATAGCTGGGATCACAGGCATGCATCACCATACCTGCTAATTTTTGTATTTTTAGCAGAGACAGTGTTTCACCATGTTGGCCAGGGTGGTCTCAAATTCCTGTGCTCGTGATCCACCCACCTCAGCCTCCGAAAGTGCTGGGATTACAGGCTTAGCAACTGCATGTAACCCATTTCCACTATTAATAAAACCTGTCTATAAGCCATTAGGGCCTTCATCCCCGAGACTTTGTACTGAGGGTGATTAAAATTAAAACAAGGCTGGGCATGGCAACTCATGCCTGTAATCCCAGCACTTTGGGAGGTCAAGGCAGGAGGATCACTTAAGGCCAGGTATTCCAGACCAGCCTGGACAACATAGCAAAACCCTATCTCTACCAAAAAAAAAAAAAAAAAAAATTAGCTGGATGTGGTGGCATGCACATGTAGTCCCAGCTACTTGGGAGGCTAAGGTGGGAGGATCCCTTGAGCCAGAGAGGTCTAGGCTGCTTTGAGCTGTGATTGTACCACTGCACTCCAGGCTGAGCAATAGACTTTGACCCTGCCTCTAAAACACACACACACACACACACACACACACACACACACGGCACTCCAGCCTGAGCAATAGACTTTGACCTTGCCTCTAAAACACACACACACACATACACACTGCATTCCAGCCTGAGCAATAGACTGAGACCCTGCCTCTAAAACACACACATACACACACACACACACACACACACACACACACACACAGACACTCTTTCTCCTTTTGTCAGTTAATGACTCAAACTTTATAGTGTTGAGAATCCTGAGGAAAATGACCTAACCTTTCTAGATAGCTGAGTTTAGGCTGAAGTCTTTTAAGGAGTAATTATAAAGAAGTCACAATGAGATACTTCTGGTTCCTTAAGCTATTTAATTCGTGTTTGAAAGAGGGTCATCAGCCACACATGATGGCTCAGACCTGCAATCTCAGCACTTCGTGAGGCTGAGGCAGGAGGACAACTTGAGCTCAGGAGTTCAAGATCAGTCTGGCCAACAGGTGAGACCCTGTGTCTACAAAAAATTAGCTGGGCACGATGCTACTTGGGAGGCTAAGAGCCTGGGAGGCAGAGGCTGCAGTGAACTATGATCATGCCACTGCACTCCAGCCTGGATGACAGAGTGAGACCATGATCAAATAATAGCAATAATAATAAAAGGAAAAAATGTTAAAGGGTCATGGTGGCATTATATGGCAAGGCAGGAACACCTGTGGGTATCATCGAGTCCATCATACTCTTGCCCCATCGCTAGGCAGGACTTCCCTGTGAAAAGTTTTGTATGTTTCTCTTCTCTTTGGCAGGCCCTCCCTGTTGCTGTCCATGTGGAGGACTCAATTCCTTTGTTCCCACTGGTTTCCTTTAATCTGCAGTGGTCCTAGAAGCCAGACAGCTTCATTGTTGGAACAGGTTACTGTAAGAGGGATTTGGTTCCTGACGGTGGCCTGACCAGGCTGCTGTCACCCTGTGCTTCCCTCATCCCTAATCAGGCTTTCAGATTCCCAAAGCGGAGCTAACCTTCTATGATGCCAGTCAAGATGCAGAGATGGAGCCAGATGTGTTGGCTCATGCCTGTAATCCCAGCACTTTGGGAAGACAAGGAGGGTGGATCCCTTGAGGCCAGGAGTTTGAGACCAGCCTAGACAACATGGCAAAACCCTGCCTTCACTAAAAATACAAAAATTAGCTGGGCATAGTGGTGCACACCTGTAATCCCAGCTACTTGGAAGGCGGAGGCATGAGAATTGCTTGAACTTGGGAGGCAGAAGTTGGACTGAGCCAGGATTACAACACTGCACTCCAGCCTGGGGTGCAGAGCAAGTCTTCAACTATAAAAAAAAAAAAAAAAAAAAAAAAAGATACAGAGATACAGAGCTAGCAACAGAAAACTATGCAACCAAAGCAGCTGAATCAGAGTTAGAATCATAAACAGCACAGATTCCCCAGCCCCAGCCCTTGGGCTCAGCCTGGCAGCAAGAACAGCTCATCATTGACATGAGCAGCTGTAAATACCTGTATACTGGCCCCTGGGAGATAAATAGCAGCCCGTGTTTTTCGGTTTTTTTTTTTCTTTTTTTTTTTGAGATGGAATCTCGCACCGTTGCCCAGGCTGGAGGGCAGTGGCATGATCTCAGCTCACTGCAACTTTTGCCTCCCAGATTCAAGTGATCCTCCTGCCTCAGCCTCCCAAGTGGCTGGGATTGCAGGCCCCCACCACACGCCCAGCTAATTTTTTATGTATTTAATAGAGACAGGGTTTCACCATGTTGGCCAGGCTTGTCTTGAACTCCTGACCTCAGGTGATCTGCCCGCCTCAGCCTCCCAAAGTGCTGAGATTACAGGCATGAGCCACTGCGCACAGCCCAGCCTGGTTTTTTGTTTGGTTTTGTTTTAGAGACAGGCTCTGGCTCTGTCACCCAGGCTAGAGTGCAGTGGTGTAATCGCAGTTCACGGCAGCCTTGAACTCCTGGGCTCGAGCAATCCTCCCACCTCAGCCTCCTGAGTAACAGACTATAGGCACATGCCACTACATCTAGCTGATTTTTGTAGAGTTGGAGGTCTTGTTATGTTGCCTAGGCTGGTCTCGAACCCCTGTCCTCAAGCGGTCCTCCCATCTCAGCCTCCCAAAGTGCTGCAAACACAGGCATGAGCCACCATGCCTAGCCAAGCAGCCCTGTTTTATGGATGAAGAACCTGGGATTCTGAAATAAAATCATTGCAAGATCCCATGGGAACTTTGATTCCACAGTTGTCTGGCTCCCAAGTCCATGTGTTTTTGTCTTTCCCACCTTTAATTTTTTATGATGAAAATAGCAAACATACAGAAAAGTTGAAAGGATAATTCAAGGAAACACTCAGGCATCTATCTAAAAAATCTTTTGCTATATTGGCCTTATCAACCCATCTCTCCACCACCACCCACCACCACCCCCGCCCTTTTTTTTTTTTTTTTTTTGAGATAGAGTCTTGCTCTGTCACCAGGCCTAAGTGCAGTGGTGAGATCTCAGCTCACTGCAACCTCTGCCTCCTGAGTTCAAGTGATTCTCCTGCCTCAGCCTCTCAAGTAGCTGGGACTACATGTGTGCACCACCAAGCCCAGCTAATTCTTGTATTTTTAGTAGAGATGGGGTTTCACCATGTTGGCCAGGATGGTCTTGATCTCTTGACCTCATGATCGGCCCACCTCAGCCTCCCAAAGTGCTGAGAATACAGCCATCAGCGGCCGTGCCTGCCCCCGCCGCCTTTTGTTTTTTTTTTTTTTAAGATGGAGTTTTGCTCTTGTTGCCTAGGCTGAAATGCAGTGGCACGATCTTGGCTCACTGCAACTTTCACTTCCAAGGTTCAAGCTGGGATTCTCCTGCCTCACTCTCCCAAGTAGCTAGCATTATAGGCACGTGCCACCACACCTGGCTAATTTTGTATTTTTAGTTGAGATGGTCTTTCACCGTGTTTGGTCAGGCTGGTCTCGAACTCCTGACCTCAAGCGATCCACCTGCCTTGGCTTCCCAAAGTGCTGGGATTGCAAGTGTGAGCAACTGCGCCTGGCCTCTCCATCCTATTTTTTATGCAGATCGCACTGGTCCTTGAAAGAAGCAGGTGGGTGCTTTATACTCACAGATGCATCTTTGCCTCGGTACTTAAATTTTCTCAGCCTCTCTTCTGGAGCATCTAAGCTCGGCATATTGGTGGGTAGTAGTAAGTCACCTGCAGGTTGGGCAAGAACAAAGAGATTTTCAGTGCCCATTGTGTAGGTTATTACATCAGTCTCATCAGGCTCTAACCCTTCAAGTGCTCCCAGTGGAGCAGAGGACAGACCCAGTAAGTCAGCACTTTATTTTTTGAGACCAGAGAAGCTGAGTGCGAGTTAGAATCCACATATACAGCACAGACTCCCCATCCCCAGCCCTTGGGCTCAGCCTGGAAGCAAGAACAAGAGTCTAGACTTCTCAGTTCCAAGTCCTATGTCTGCAAGGTGTGCTTGTTGGCAACTGGGCCTCACTCTGTCACCTGGGCTGGAGTGCAATGGCACAATCATGGCTCACTGCAACCTCGACGTCCTGGACTCAAGTGATCCACCCATTTCAGCCTCTTGAGTAGCTGGGACTACAGGTTTACAAATAAACCACACCTGGCTTATTTGTGTGTGTGTGTGTCTGTGTGTGTGTGTGTGCATGTCTGTGTGTCTGTGTGTTTATATATATGTATACATATATATGTGTATATATATATGTACACACACACACATATATATATACATACAGTAAGTTGGCTTTTTACCATGTTGCTCAGGCTGGTCTTGAACTCCTGAGCTCAAGTGATCCTCCCATCTCAGCCTCCCAAAACGCTGGGATTACAGGCACGAGCCACCACACCACACTTGAAGACAGCTCCTATAAGCATTGCCACACCAGCTCAGTAAGCTGTGAGCACCGTGAGAGCACCAAGACGACCAGCCCTGGGCATTAACAGTAAGGAAACCTTTTAAAGGTGCTTTGGCTTCAACTAGGTCCTCAACGAGACAGGTAGGCTGGTTGTCATATACAGAAGCCTTTCATGCGAGGTGCAATGGCTCACACTATAATCCCAGCACCTTCTGGGGCTGAGGCAGATTAATCACTTGAGGTCAGGAGTTTCAGACCAGCCTGACCAACATGGCGAAACCCCGTCTCTACTAAAGATACAACAATTAGCCAGGCATGGTGGTGGATGCCTACAACTCCAGCTACTTGGGAGGCTGAGGCAGGAGAATCACTTGAACCCAGGAGGTGGAGACTGCAGTGAGCTGAGATTGCATCACTGTACTCCAAAAAGAAAAAAAAAAAAAAAAAAGAAGCCACCTTTCACAGGGTGTGTCTGAGGAGTTATGAATCAGGCATATATACGGGATGGTGAGGAGCGCCCCCCACCCAAAGGCTGCAACAGGAAAATCCTACACTCAATGCACCAGCACATGGGGTCAGGATAGTCTCAAGCACAAGTCACTGAGAATCCTTCAGTAGACTGCTTCCACCCCAATCCAGACCACCATCACCTCTCACCCACACTACTATCATTACCTTCTAGCTGGTCTCCCTGCTTCTCCCATTGCCTTATTCCAATCTGTGCTTTGCACAGACTCCACATGATTGTGGATCACCTGAAGTCAGGAGTTCAAGACCAACCTGGCCAACATGGCGAAACCCTGTCTCTACTAAAAATACAAAAAGTAGCTAGGTATGACGGCAGGCACCTATAGTCCCAGCTACTCTGGAGGCTGAGGCAGGAGAATCACTTGAACCCAGGAGGCAGAGGTTGCAGTGAGCCAAGATCACACCACTGTACTCCAGCCTGGGCAACAGAGTGAGACTCCATCTCAAAAAAAAAAAAAAATCTGATTAGCTAGGCACAGTGGCTCATGCCTGTAATCCCCATAACTTGAGAGGTTAAGGTGAAGAATTGCTTAAGGCCAGATGTTTGAGACAAATGTGGGAAACAAAGTGAGACCCTGTCTCTACAAAAAATATAAAAATTAGTTTGGCATGTTGGCACGTACCTGTAGTCCCAGCTACTTGGGAGGCTGAGGTGGGAGGATCGCTTGAGCCCATCAAGTCAAGGCTGCAGTGAGCCATGATTGCACCACTATACTCCTGCCTGGGTGACAAAGCAAGACCCTGTCAAAAATAAAAGAAAATGTTCTCTCTGGCCAGGTGCAGTAGCTCACGCCTGTAATCCCAGCACTGGGAGGCCAAGGTGGACACATTGCTTGAGCCCAGGAGTTGGAGGCTGCAGTGAGCCATGATTGTACCACTGCACTCCAGCCTGGACAGCAGAGCAAGACCCTGTCTCCAAAACAAATTTGAAAAATAATAAGGCCGGGTGCAGTGGCTCATGCCTATAAGATGTAATCCCAGCACTTTGGGAGGCCAAGGTGGACAGATTGCCTAAGCTCAGGAGTTTGAGACCAGCCTGGGCCACACAGTGAAACCCCATCTCTACACAAATACAAAAATTAGGGTGTGGTGGTGTGGGCCTGTAGTCTCAGATACTTGGGAGGCTGAGGCAGGAGAATTGCTTGAACCTGGGAGGTGGAACTTGCAGTGAGCTGAGATTGTGCCACTTCACTCCAGCCTGGGCAACAGAGCGAGACTGTCTCAAAAAACAAAAAAGAAAGAATCTGATCTAACTCTCCTGCTTCAAAAAAAAAACCTCTCTTCTGGCTACACATTGAGTTTAGAAGAAAATTCACACTTTGTACGGTGGCCTCCCCCCCTTTCATTTCCAACAACTCTTTCTTGATCATTGCGTTCTAGACCCCTTGACTTCATTATCAAGCCTTTCAGGCTCATCGGATTTGGGCCTTTAAAGGAGCTGCTCCGCCCACGATCTCTGCACACTTGGCTCTTCTTCATTCAGCCTCTGCTTAAACATCTCTGAAAGTCCTTCCAAAGTATCTTCCCAGTCTTTTATTTTCTCCTCAGCTTTAACCACTGCCTGATATTTTCTTGGTTGTCCATCTTCCCTCCCCCCATGACAAGACCATGTTTGTCTTAGGCAGGGATTTCTGACCTCTTTCACAACACATGACAAAGTAAGTACTCAAATATTTGTCAAGGGAGGGTGGTGTGTGATAAGGGACGGGGGAGTTGACCTTCAATTAGAGGTGGTTATTCAAATCAAACCAAGTGTGAGCTTTTCTTTTCTTAATTAGAGAGAGTTTGCCTTTGTGTTTTTGTTTTGTTTTTGAGACAGGGTCTTGCTCTATTGCCCAGGCTAGAGTGAAATAAATAGTGCGATCATGGCTCACTGCAGCCTCAACCTCTTGAGCTCAAGTGATCCTCCTGCCTCAGCCTCTCGAGTAGCTAGGACTACAGGCTCAAGCCAGCAGGGCTGGCTAATTTGCATTTTTTGTAGAGATGGGATCTCACATGTTGCCCAGGCCGGTTTCAAACTCCTGGGCTCAAGCAATCTCCCACTCAACCTCCCAGGCATGATCCACCACACCTGGCCCCAAGTTTGAATGTTCACAAGGCAGCTGGGAATATTTCTCATAGGTATGCAATGAATATTCATCTGTTTATGAGCATACAAGATGGTCCAGGCTACATTATAGAAAAGAGAAAACTGGATAAAGAGGTCAACTGACTAGTCTTCAGTGACTAGTAGCCGAGAATAATTTTGGTAGAAAAGACTAATTCTGACATATCAATTTGAAAGGGACAGTGTAGACAATTTGGAGATTTTCATCAGGGAATTTAGAGCCAGCCAGGTGCAGTGGCTAATCCCAGCACTTTGGGAGGCCAAGGCAGGTGGATCACCTGAGGTCAGGAGTTTGAGACCAACCTGGCCAACATGGTGAAACCCTGTCTCTACTAAAAATATAAAGATTAGCCAGGTGTGGTGGCAGGCGCCTGTAATTCAAGCTACTTGGGAAGCTGAGGCAGGAGAATCACTTGAACCTGTGAGGCGGAGGTTGCACTGAGCTGAGATCAAGCCATTGCACTCCAGCCTGGGCAACAGAGTAAGACTCCTTCTCAGGGGAAAAAAAAAAAAAAGAATTTAGAGCCAAGACTGATGTTGTAAGCAGAGAGACAAGCTCTATGTGAGATCAGAACAAGGATTGAATCTTGGGGATGCTCATATTAGGACCCGAGAGAATGCAGAATTATCAAAAAAAACAGGAGGAAGAAGGGGATTGGAGACAGAACTACAGAGTTACTGCCAGAGGTACTGCCAGTGACAGCAGCCACTGCGCCAGGGACAAGTCCCTAAACCGAAGCTCCAGCCACCCACAGCAAGACAGGAGCTGCAGGAGAGCACGTCAGCTGAGCCTCAGAGCAGAGGAAACCAAGAGCCCACACCGTCTCTCTGGGTTTCAGATCCTCATTGCTCTGCCTGCTTTTAAAGCATTAGCTTCCTCCTGAGCCTGGGCAAGAATAGTCTATACCTCGTCTGCAAATCTAATCATGGGAAATGCAAATTAGTTCCTGGAATTGACCAATCTCTCCCACTCTCCTATCTCAAAGCCAGAAAGGTGCAGAGTGACAACTGGTTTAAACATTCGCGAAGCTCTCAATCATGGTGAGTCACGCTGACCTCTTCCCCTGCCACTGTGGACAAAGGGCCTTCGGTGAATCCAGAGTCCTTCAGTTGCTGTCCAAGGAGCCCTCACAGAAGTTGGCTTAAGACAATTTCAGGCTTTAGATTCCTTCAATACAACTTCAAGCTCAAGGTAGCTTTACTCCTAGCAACATATCGCAACTCAGCACATCTGGGAAGGGCAGAGAACTGCATTGTAAGACAGCCTCAGCACTGGAGCTCAGGCTAGAAAGCACTGGTATCCGACATGTTCATCTGTGGGTTTTTTTTTTTTTTTTTTTGGAGATAGAGTTTCATTCTCGTTGCCTAGGCGGAGTACAGTGGTGCAGTCTTGGCTCACTGCAACCTCTGCCTCCCAGTTCCAGTGATTCTCCTGCCTTCAGCCTCTCATGTAGCTGGAATTACATGTGCCTGCCACCATGCCCAGCTAGTTTTTTCATTTGTTTGTTTGTTTTTAAGTAGAGACCAAGTTTTATCATATTGACCAGCCTGGTCTCAAACTCTTGACCTCAGGTGATCCACCTGCCTCAGCCGCCTAAAGTGCTGGAATTATAGGCATGAGCCACCATGTCCAGCATACTTTTAAGCAATCTCAAATTCCGCCCCATAAGGAAGAGAAGAGTTGCTTTTTAACACATTGGCCAGGCACAGTAGCTCATGCCTGTAATCTCAACACTTTGGGAGGCCAAGGAGGAAGGATCACTTGAGCCCAGGAGCTTCAGACCAGCTTCAACAACATGGAGAGACTCCATCGCCACATTAAAAAAAAAAAATTAATCTGGCTTGGTGGTGGGCGCCTGTAATCCCAGATACTCCATGGAAAGATCACTTGAGCCCCAGAGGTAGAGGCTGCAGTGAGCCATGATTGTGAAACTCTACTCCAGCCTGGGTGACAGAGTGAGACCCTGTCTCAAAAAGAAAAAAAAAAAAAAGACAAAACTGGGTATGGTGGCTCACACCTGTAATCCCAGCACTTTGGGAGGCAAAGGCAGGTAGGTCACCTGAGGTCAAGAGTTCGAGACCAGCCTGGCCAACATGGTGAAACCTCATCTCTACTAAAAATAATAATAATAATAATAATAATAATACAAAAAAATTTAGCCAGGCATGGTGGCATGTGCCTGTAGTCCCAGCTACTCAGGAGGCTGAGGCAGGTCAATCGCTTGAACCCAGGAGGCAGAGTTTTCAGTAAGCCAGGATTATGCCACTGCACTCCAGCTTGGGGTGATAGAGGGAGACTCCATCTCAAAAAAAAAAAAAAAAAAGCATTACTATTGATTACAGTATCCTTTAATGATCATGTGGAATACTAGATTCCTAGTGGTCAGAATAACCAGTGTCAAGAGGATCATCGGTTGAAACAAAATTTGGGTTTAAATGAGATTCTAGCTCTAGGTCTCCAAGAGTTAAGACACAGGCCATTTATAAGACTGGAGTAGACAAGAATTATGGGTCTATTTAGGGAGCAATGACCAAAACTTTTTTCTAGCCCAGGTTAGAGTACAGTGGTGCAATCATAACTCACTGCAGCCTTCACTTTCTGGGCTCAAATGATACTCCCGCTTCAGCCTCCTGAGTAGCTGGGACCACAGGAACAAGCCACCACACTTCACTCATTTTTCTAATTTTTTTTTTTTTGTAGAAATGGGGTCTCACTCTGTCACCCAGGCTGGGGTGCAGTGATATAATCATAGCTCACTGCAGTCTCAAATTACTAGGCTCAAGAAATCCTCTCACCTCAGCCTCCCAAGTAGCTGGGCCTACAGATGTGCACCACCATACCCAACTAATGTTTTCATTTTTTAGAGATGGGGTCTTGCTATGTTGCCCATGCTGGTCTGGAACTCCTGACCTCAAGTGATCCTCCTGCCTCCACCTCTCAAAGCACTGGGATTGCAAGCATGAGCCACTGCATCTGGCCCAAAACATTTATTACATGCCCAGAATTTTAGACATTTAGGATTAAATGTCTAAAGTGATACCTAATATTCTCATTTTACAGGTGAAGGAGCCATCTCAGACATATTCCCGAAGTTCTCAAAGCAGTGAAGTATTAGAACCAGGACATCAGAGTTGACTCCTGCGTCCAAGCTTTGCAGCCAATGATCTATACCAAGATCTCATTAGGAAAGCATGAAATCATCACCATGGTCGGTGCTCTGGCTCACACCTGTAATCCCAGCACTTTGGGAGACTAAGGTGGGCAGATCATCTGAGGTCAGGAGTTTGAAACCATCCTGGCCAGTGTGGCTAAACCTCATCTCTACTAAAGAAACAAAAAAAACTTTTTTAATTAGCCAGGTGTGGTGGCGCATGCCTGTAGTCCCAGCTACTTGGGAGACTAAGGCAGGAGAACCACTTGAACCTGGGAGGCAGAGGTTGCAGTGAGCCAAGATCACACTGCTGCACTCCAGCCCGGGAGACAGAGCGAGACTGTCTCAAAAAAAAAAAAAAAAAAAAAAATAGCCAGGTGTGGTGGTGTGAATGTGTAGTCCCAGCTACTTGGGAGGCTGAGGAGAGAATCACTTGAACCCAGGAGGTGGAGGCTGTAATGAGCAGAGATCCCGCCACTGCA